TAAACACCCAAGATTTAAAACCAGTTTTAAAGCAATATCAAAAATAAAACCATAGTCTAAATTACAATAAATGTCAAATGGCAGTAAGAATTGGTATTATATTCCATTTCCCTGTTTTGCAATCAGTGCAGACAGCTTCCAAATAATGAACAAATTACTTTTTGAAAGGAACCTTAAAACTAGTAAACACAGTTGCTATTCAGCTCTCTCAGAGTTTTGTAAATGTCACGTTCTTTCTAATTGGCTTCCTATTTCGACAAACCCAATTGAAACTTAATTGGGTTGGTATGTGAACTGCAAACCCACGCCTGCCCCGTATATTTCCAAGAATAAGCCCAGTACCAATAAAGCTTCCGTGTTTTCCATATGTAATCTGAACATGGGGTCTGCATTCATCACAATCAACTGGAATCAGCCCTCTGGTTCCACTGCCCTTTACAGAGGCAGCTCTGAATCTTTGAGACATCGGGACTGAGACTGCACTTAGAGGTGACAGGTCAAACTTCTACTTCCACTTTTATAGTTACCACGGGGGGAACACCAAATAAAAATGTGTGACTGTGGCTCACTCTTAGCAGCATCGCTCCTACCAGACCTGGTTGGAATCACAGGGTGCCACCTTGTGTATAAGCTGACGATTACTTCCCAGTTTCCACAAAGGAGCCAGATAAACTAAAATACCATCAGCCTCAAAGCTCTGTATTTTATTAAACCAAAGAAAAAACGAGACAGATGTAATTAAAGGAAACAGATTTGAAAACACACAACTCCAGAGGGTCTGAGACAATTTTGAATCACACTGACAGTCTGTCTCTTTTTTGCCCCTTTCTGACCAGAAAACACACCCAATGCCCCACACATGGAATAGATTGATGCCGCTCACTCAAGCTTTTAGATAGGGATACCCAAAATAAGTAAAGCTCTTGTAACAGAGCTAATGAGCCTGACAGGGACAGTCATCTGTTCCCAAACAGTAGGTCAGCTCTGTAGATTTATTTTAGAGCTTTTGATTTCTGAGAGGCACTAGGTTTCATACAGGTGATCAATATGATCCTACTTATTTTAATAAAATGCATGATAGTGAGGTTTAAAAGTGGCTGAGTTCAAAAAAAGGAAATAATAGCAACCCAAGGCCGCAGTAGGTAAAATAGGATCCTTCCATTCCAGTTACGTTGGCCTTGAAAAATTCCACACTTCTCTAAATTCAGTGTGTCTGCCAATCACCTGAAGTCGCTGTTGCATAGAACGATTAGAATTTTCATATATCATTTTCAATCAGGAGTTGGAGTGGAGGGCCTGGGGCTTTGGGAGCACGGGTGCACATCTGTTGGTTTAGCTCTCCTGGAACATCTATTCGTCTCAGCTGCCTACCCTGGCCTCCTCCCCCAGTGCATCTTTTTCTTCGTAAGCATCTCTGAAAGGTAACTTGGAAGGTAGTTTCTCTCTCCCTGTGAAGGCAGTTTATTTCCACTGGTGTGCTAGCAAGACCCAAACAACTGAAGCAGGCTCAGAGCACTGAGCCCTGAGCCCCCTGGGGTCCAAAATGTTAGCTGAGAGGAGTCCACTGTTAACAAACATGGGTTGCTATTGTAAATGTGGCTTCCCAGACCTACTTTTTTTCTCTCCTGCCTGCCAAAGGACAGATTTTTAATGTTTATAAGCACAGATTTGTGACTATACAGTTGCAATCCTGAATTAAAGAAAATTGGTTTAATAACAATCACATCTTACTGATCTTATCTCCGTTGTTCCCCAAAACAACATGGCCTGTTTTCTAAGAAAGGCTTTTGGTATTAGCATATTGAGAGCCCCCTAAACAAAAGCTTCCAGTATTAGCATATTGAGAGGCCCCTAAATTCCAGAGTACTTGTTAGGAAGCAGAAAGGAAAGCAACTTTATGTCTCCAAATTAGAAGACAGGTTTCCTTGTCTTTCATCAGCTATTAAAGGTGACTTGGCAGGGGAAAAAACAGAAGCCACTGACATAAAATCCAAATAATTACCTAGATATTTACTGGCTCACCCATACCCCTTTCCTTGTTTTAGAAAGTATTTCAGCTTGCTTTTAAAAGTGGCTAAAATGTGCTAGGTTTGCATTTGGGCTCTAAATTTCCTATTAATACGACATTTCTTTGTCACGAAAATAGGAAAACTTATCAGCTTCGCAGTTTACAAAGTTCATTAGATCAAATGATTGTTCAGGAGATTTATGATTGTTTCTGGTCCTAACTGGAATATTCCAAGAATCTCATAAACAGAGCAATAGGGGGTATAATGGTGCCCTTACAATAAACACAAAAGGGGCATCCTAGGGCTCTTTCTTACAGTGACCTCCATATAAGCTAATGGCATCATATAAAATCCAGCACAAACTTGACAGTTAGAATGGACATGGGCAACTGAGCTCATGACTTCCACACATGCAGACCTAGGAGTATGAACGGACTCCATGGCCTATGGGCAATGCTTTCTGAATAGCATTTTTCTCTCCACTGTCTCCTGATAAACGGTGACACTGAGAGCTCAAAATTGTGCTCTACTGCAATTACCCGAAGTGTGGCTCTTTAAAGTGTCCAATTAAAGGAAGAGATATATACCTTAAATGACTGTTATGGAGGATCCTTTTCTGCAAAGAAAGAAGTTTAACAAAGACCAGTGAAAAGAAAACTTTCCCTCCTGAAAAGAAAACTTTCCCTCCTGCTCTTGCAGTGAGCTGAGGGAGTATCCACCTGCAAGGCCAACTGGTATTTTGACTTTGCATAAATAAGCTGTGTGTTGCTATCTCAGGTTAGATGACATTTGAGGAGTGCAGTGGGGATGGAGAATGGTGTTCTTGCCACCTGCAGCCACATGAAGATTGTCTTCTAGCTGGTGGCAGTAGCCATTATTTGTTAGCTCTGTCTTCTAGAGCTTACATTGAACCTTTTTAAAAAAAGATTTATTTGTTCATGCATACAAGAACTGGGATGTAGGTCAGAGGTACGAGGTCAGGGGTGATGAGAGGATTCACCAGAGACAGAGTGCGGTGCAGAACAGGCAGATCTACTGAAATACACTGCTGAGGGGAGCAGAGGGTGAGACATGAGAGGTCCGTTGTGCCATGTGGGTCAGCTCCCTGGCCAGGGATCTAACTCATGCTTTAGTGGCTACCCATAGCTTGATAGCGATGAGACTTAAACCTTGCACCACCAGGGAAGCTCCACATTGAACCTTTTACTGAGGAAGGGAGGAGTTAGATCTTTCTCTGCTTGTTCTCATAGGTAAGTTTTGTAGCCTAGCCGGCTGTGTTAAGGCAAGTTTTGAAGGAAACAGGGCTTCAGAGTATCCTCTGTTAAAGGAAGACATCAGGTCTTCTGACTTAAAGCCACACAGGGGATGCCCTTGTGCCAAGTCCCCCATTCTCTCACTTACACCAGCAGTCCTTTGCAGCACTGGGTATTCCCTGTTAGGTCTGGTACACAAGACTGTGCCTGCATATGACCCAGACCTTTCATTTAAGGATGACTACCTGGACAAAGGGCCTCCAGAAGTGGACATTGGCTTGAAGGTCAATGTTCACCATGCCCTGATACCCTCCACTAAGTTTTGGGGGCAGTAATAGTTTGATTGAGAACTTGCTGATTGAAAGGCCTACTGACTTGCTTGGTCCTTTCATGGTGGTGAAATGGCCTACATAGTATTTCAAACCATGTATGCAATAACTCCAGCTGCTTAAAACGTGCCTAAATGGTTAACCAAATAAAACAACATTTGAGACCTATTTTAGGCACAGATATGTCTAGAATATTCTACGAAAATATTCCCTCTTGTGAGGGAAATGAGATTGCAGAGAAGGGTAATGGTGAAGAGAAATCTTTACTTCTCACTTTCCAAATCCTTTTACTGTGTTAATAATGATGATGGTGAAGAAGATGATCATGATGAGATGGGTGGTTTTAAAAAACTCATTTTAAGGAATTAAAGTCAGATAACAGAGCACACATGGGCTATGGAGAGAAAGATGGCCTTCCCATATTCTATGACCTTTTATACAGCTGAACCTGTGACCTTGTTTGTGAAATAGATATAATGTTCCTATGTCCCTGACTACGCATGAGAAGTAAAAGAGGGAACATGACAAATTCATGAACGCAATGCCTGGCAATGAATGGTAGAGGCCCAGTCAACATTAAAACTGTTTCTTTTCCCTTTCCTCTGCCTTTTTATTTACATGGCTTCAGGGGATTAAAGTCAAAACTGTAGCACATAAAAGATGACCTTAGAGTTTCTACTCTGGATTATAGTTTCTTTTAAATTCTTCAATTTAAAATTAAATGGAGTATTCCTCCTCATCCCCCAATCATTCCCTGGCCCTGTTGGAATCCCAGAAGAGAATGGAACTATTATTCAAATTATCATGGCCAGAGGACCCTGCCAAAGACAGAACATTAGATCCTTCAAAATGAGATCTTGATCTCACTGCTCACCTGTGCCTATGCTGGTGTCTCTCTTTCCCCTTCTCCTTTTCCTAATAAACCTGTCCTTTCAAAATGTTAAAACAAAGCCAAAAAAAAAAGAGAGAAAGATCTTATCTTCATTAAGGATGGACACATGTATATCTAAATACTAAATCAGGATCTCTGAAGTCTGATTTATTTTTCATTTTCTAAAAGTTATTTTAAAAACCGATGACATGATAAATTGAATCACATGACTGAAGACGCAGATTTGAAGGGAACAATCTGCTTTTCTTTCTTTTCTCTTACCCTTCCTCCTTCCTTCCTTCCTCCCATTCTCTTCTCATTTTAGGAAATTCTAAAAGCTAATTTGTAAAGTTCAAGTTCCTCTCTGAGTGGCCTCGTGGTTAGCTCCTGTTCAAAATCAGAAAGAGTTGGGCTACTTACCCATGAAAAATCCCCTCATAATCCATGAGCTAGCTTATGTCTGAATGTGTGTTCATCTGTGAAATAATGCTACCAAGTCACAAGTGAGATCATAAAGAACATTTGAAGGAGTCATAATGCAACATTACTGGAGGTCTTCTGAAGAATTTACAAATGCTTGAAAAGTATGTGTCTGATTGTTTTCAATTCCTCTGTCATCACATATCTACCTGAAAAACCAGACATCCCCTAGAGTCAAATCTGGTGACTGAAGTGAGTGAGCCACTCCTCTTCTCTTCTCTTCTCTCTCTCTCATTCTTTGTCATAGAGGGAGGAGATAAGCTTGCCCAACTTTTGCTTCAAAGGATCTTAAGCATTTGGATGTGTGTACAGTTGACCCTTGAACAACAAGTAGGTTAGAGACACCAAACACCGGCCCCACCTTTAAAAATCCAAGTATAACTTTTTATCCCTCAAAATTTACTAATATCTTGCTGTTGACTGGCATCCTTCCAGTAACTTGAATATTTGACATATATTTTGTATATTATATGTATTATACATTGTATTCTTCCAATAAAGTGAGCCAGAGGAAGGAAAAATGTTATTAAAAAACATAAAGAAGAGAAAAATGCAGGCCACCCTGGTGGCACAAGGGGTTAAACATCAGCACTGTGAAGCAATCTGCAGCTACTACAGCATGAGTTAGATCCCTGGCAAGGGAGGTGACACACATGGTGCAGCAGACCTCTCCTGTCTCACCCACTGCTCCCCTTAACAGTGTATTTCAGTAAAATCCACCTGCTCTGCTCCCCACTGTCTCTGGTGAATCTTCTTACCCCCCTGCCTCGCACCTCTGGCCTGCACCCCAGCTCTTGTATGCATAAATAAATAAATCTTTAAAAAAAAAGAAGAGAAAAATGCTCTTAGAGTACTTTGCTGTATTTATGGATATCAAAAGTTTATATTGTGTGTTTAAAAGAAAATCTTCAATAAGTGCACCCATGCAGGTCAGGGTCAACTGCATATTGGTATAGTTATTAAGCCAGGCTAATCACTTATTTACCTTCTCTCCTATTTTATTGATACTGCTTAATTAAGAGAAAATCTCAGAACATAAGACTTGGTTTTACCAACCTTTCTTGACTTTTGGGTGATAAGAAATTCTCCAGACAAAAGGTAAATCAAAGAAAGAACAATAACCATTCTGCTTATCACTCGCAAGCAGTGCTAAGTGCCCACTTATCTGGCAAGATATTTATTCTTTTTCACAAATTTATGAACACCTCCAAAGTCACTCCACTTGAACAAAATAGAGTTGTCGAGTTTGCTTTTATTTTTAATTTTAGCATCGCCTTATTCTGTACAGATTTAGTCATTTTTAGTTACTTTATCCTAATTAGAGATAATTTGCCACTATGTGAAATAGTAAGATGAGAAGGAATAGCCCCAAAGTATTTAGAATTAAGAGTGTCAACTTCATTTTCATCCCCAAACCAAAGATTTGTTTCCCACAGCAGAAGAATACTCTGCTAACACTGGTACAGCTAGCAGCCCAGAGCAGGCAGGGTTATTGAATTCTCTTCTGCCCTGTTGCCTGATCTATAACAATAAATTCCCAGGGTGGCCGCACAATTACACAGAACGTGATCACTATCACAGCGGGCCCAGCTAGATAGGGATATACAACATGATCACTTACCCAGTAGGCACCGTTCAATATGGTTAGACAACATGATCACTGCACAGCAGGCCTTTTGCGGTACAGATTCCTAACATGGCCATGACTAACACACCTGATAACTTACATGTATTCAAACTATAACCACCATTTTACAGGGACAGATTGATGGTGACACGACGTAGAATATCTAACCCCACAAGCACATAAAGTGCAGAGACCCTGCACAAGATTGTTTAGCACAGCAGGTTCTGCTGTACAGAAATTTGCCACACCACAGTGGAAACAGATTTGGGCTTCCAGTAGGATGGCTAACATGGCAGTCAACATTCTGACTTTAGCCAAGTGCTGATAAGCAAAAGCATCACAATGAACAAAAGATCTGTATTTTAGAAAATATAACAAAAAGAGCAAGCTGCCTTGTGTGGAGTGTGTGTTTTCTTGCACCCACACCACCAGTGCCTCTGACAGCAGAGGATGCATTTGAGATTATCTTGCTACTCTCATTAGCACACATCCATCTGATGGAAGGCGCTGTGTCCCGGCTGCTTTGATGTGTGTGAAAATATACCAACTTTTGCATATAATGTTAGTAATGACTGTGTAGAATAAAAGAGAGAAGCTTTTCAGGCAAATAAAGGGAGTAATTTTTTTCTAACTTTAAAGAAGCAAATGGATTTGCAAATTTGAAATCAAAATAACAAAATTTGAAATCAAATTAACAGCAAGGAGAGTAATTATTTTATTAAATACCATTTTATTTACTTTTAAATGATGTCATTCCCATGGATTCCAATTTGGCTGATCTGGAATGTGGCCCAGAAGTGTACATTTAACAAATACGCCAGGTGATTCTGCATCAAAGTATTTTTTTTATACAGCCTCATCCTACTGGTTCTCTTTTCTTCCTCATCTTTTCTCTAATTTTCATATTTCTCTTTTTCTCTCCCTATGTCTCCCATTCTTTCATCTCCTTTCCTTTCCTTGGCCCTATAATTCTCCCTTTTTTCATTTTTCATTTTCTCTAGGTATGGGTAGGCATTGAGAGGTTAGTTGGAGTGTCATGAGGAAAAGAGAAGAAGGAGAATCCTACCAATTCCACATGCCTCAAGCCAAGTTCCAAAACTGTGTGAGGTCTAGGCACTGTATTCACTGTGTGCCTTTGAATGCAGCACACAGATCATGCCACCTAATTTTCTGTGGTCATTCTTAATAGAAGGCCACCAGGAACCAAGAGAAGATGGGCAGAGTTCTTAGATTGAGCCTGCCATTATTTAGTTTGGTTCCACCAGCTAAAGACAGTTCATTAAAAATACTTGTAACAAAACTGGAATTGGTTTTAATCTTTTTTTTTTAAAGATTTATTTATTTATACAAGAGCTGGGGTACAGGCCAGAGGCGCAGGAGGGTGAGAGACTCCACCAGAGACAAAGCAGGGAGCAGAACAAAGAGAAGGACCAAAATAACCTGCTGAGGAGAGCAGCAGGCGAGGCAGGAAAGGTCTGCTGTGCCATGTGAGTAACTCCCTGGCCGGCCAGGAATCGAACCAGTGCTGCAGAGGCTGTGGACAGCTTCACAGCCCTGCACTCAACCCACTGCACCACTGGGGAGGCCCCAATTGGTTTTAATCTTGCACCAATGGTTTCTGTGAAATAATAAGGCTCCAGTATTTGTGGTCATCTGTTTCCTCTATCTTGATTCTCCATGTATTTACTGGTTGCTTGGTTTTGTTTACTTCTGCTATGGAAACTCTGTTTACTTCTTCTATGAACATGAGTGAAGCAATATGGCTTGAAGAACTCTAGTTTAGGAAGCCTATATCCACATCTGGCCCTGGCATTAGCTAACCTGTGGTCTTGGACAACACCTGGACCTCTGCAGCCGCATTGCCCGTCACTATAACATTCATTTAGTTCCAAAATTATACAGAATAAAAAGCTTATTACTCTTCTATAGTACTCCAACATAAAGAAGGTTATGTGTGACTTACAACAAATTCTTAGAAACAGAATAAGTGATTTTTGTTCTTAAAAAAAAACTAAAAGTAGCAGTACGTGATAGAATCAGAATTAAATGGCTGCCAAATTTCCTACTGTTTTTGTTAGCCCATAATCAAATGTAAACTTAAAAAGCAGTTAATGTTTTCTGTTAAACTACTGGTTTCTTAACTTTCCTTATTATAAAATACATATTTATTCTAACCATGACTACCTTTTAAAGATATTGCTAGAAAGCTCTTTAAAAATTAAACAATCTGAGTGGATGAAAACATTGACTTTAATATTACCTTGGCTAACACAAGGAAAAATGTTTTTTAATTTTTTTTCTGAGTGATTATAACAACGATGTGAATATGATCTAGAATTTAGGCATATGGAGTTCTCAGGACAGAAAACCGTCTCAGGCACAAAGAATAGAGGGAACAAAGAAGGCAACTGCAGAGAGGGAAGGAGAGCGAGAGAACTAAGCTTAGGGAACAATATTAATCACCCACAATATATTAGAGACTTTTAATTCAATTCAATTTATCATAACTCTTAAGTAACTTCTATGACTAATCTAGGAGCTGAACATGGAATGATGAGCAAGAGAGACACGGTCTTTGCCCACATTTAATCCTATAACAATCTTTTAAAGTCCATATTATTGACACAGGTTCTTTGCACTGCTCACTTTGCATTTCATTACAATTCATGAAGTTTAAAATGCTGCCTTTCATCTCTCACAGGATATAAACATAACTTTCCTTTTCTATTCTATACTATAGTATTGGTGAGGACTTAAGTATTACTGCATAGAGAGCTGTTCAGAAACTATGAAGCAAGTATTTCTTCCTTTTATTCAATTAAAAAATTAATAAGATGATTAACCTCCAACTTTTATCATCCATGCAGACAAAGAAGTCAGAAAAATAAATAGCCTGAAATTTCCTTGGATTTAGTAGAATTACACATTTTTTTCATTTTTATTTTTTAATTGTTATAAAATATACAACATAAAACATCATCTTAGCCATTTTTAGTGTGTGCTTCAATATTGTTATATTCATGTTGTTGTGCAACCAGTCTCCAGAACTTTTTCTTCCTATAAAACTGAAACTGAATTTATCATACAACAATCCAATCCTCTCCTCCCCCTGCCCACAGCCTCTGGCAACCTCCATTCTACTTTCTGTTTCTATGAATTTGCCTAATCTAGATACAGGAATCATACAGTATTTTTTTTTTTAATTTTTATTTTTATTTATTTATTTTTTTAAAGATTTATTTATTTTATTTATACAAGCACTGTATAAATATACAGTCAGAAGTGCGGGAGGGTGAGAGAATTCACCAGAGCAAGAGCGGGGAACAGAACAGGCAGACTGACGAAATACACTGCTGACAAAAGACACCGCAGCGGGAGCGGCAGGAGAGGTCTGCGCGCCAAGTGGGACCCTTGCCAGGGGCCGGGGATTGAACCGGCGCTGCAGAGGCTGCGGGCAGCCCCACAGACCAGCACTCAACCGCTGCACCACCAGGGGAGGCCCCATACAGTATTTTTGAGTGACTGGCTTATTTTGCATAGAATGTTATCCTCAAAGTTCATTCACATTGTAGAATGTGTCAGAATTTTCTTCCTTTTTCAGGCTAATATTCCATTCGTGTATATATAACATTTTGTGTATTCATTTGTCAGTAAACACTCAGGTTGCTTGCTTCTCTTGGCTATTGTGAATAATGCTATTATGAACACCGGTTTACAAATATCGCTTTGAGACCCTCTTTTAAATTCTTCCATATTCAAAAGTGGAATTGCTAGATTATACAGCAATTCTATTTTTAATTTTTTGAGGCGCCTTTTCCATTCCAATTTTCGTAACAGATATACCCTTTTACATTCCTATCAATAGTGCACAAGGGCTCCAATTTCTCCATATCCACACTAACATTTAAATTTTGTGATTATTTTTAAATAGTAGGCATCCTGATGGGTGTGAGATGATATCTTATTGTGGTTTCATTTCCTTAATAATTAATGATGCCTAGCATCCCTCAGATGCTTGTAGGACATTTTTATATATTTGGAGTAATGACTATTCAAATTATTTGCCCATTTTTAATAAGACTGTTTAGTTTAAAATAAGTAATTTGCTTATATAAACTTTGGTGATTAATATAGCATTTTCACACATTTTACAAAATTTTAGATTCACAATAACCCTGTGGGGTTGACAGGTAGACATTTTGCCATCTGCAGTAACAATTGATAGAAAAACTAAGTATGCTGACCAAATATCCACTACTAGGCAGGACCAAGAGTTCTTGTGTTGCGCTCTTTGTCTTTGTTCGAACATTTGAAAATATGTAAACTATGTAACCAATAGAAAGAGCATGGAATGAATTTAGGGTTCACCTATTAAAAAGTCACAAAGAAGAAAAACAATCTAGGTGTTAGAGATAAACTTCCTGGTGTTTTGTGGATGTAAATCCCAATTTCCATGCCTACTATGCTGTATTTTCTTTTTCAAGATGTCAGAGCCAAGAAGCCACTGTCAACAGGAATCTTTCTTTCTTTAAGTATGAGGTAGGTTTCTCTCAGTGACCTTCCACATGCGTGCTGAGGACAGTGAAACCAGGAAAGCAGAAGGAACCCTGGAAAATTAAGAGACTTCCCTTCCCCATGACCCTAGGACCATTCACTGTTCTTTTTAAAAAATACATTTTTTATTGAGTTAACATTGATATATAACATTATATAAATTTCAGGTATACACACATTGTGATTCCACATATGTAAACACTACATCACCATCACCACGAAAAATCTAGTTTTCATCTACCACTGCACACTTGACCCCTTTGCTGCTTCACCCCCCAGCCCCTTCTCTGTTAATCACCAATCTGCTTTCTGCATCTAAGAGTTTGATTTTGTTTTGCCTGTTCATTTGCTTTGTTTCTTTATATTCCACCTATGAGTTAAAGGATATAATATTTGTCTTTCTCTGTCTGACTTAATTCACTTAGTATAATACCCTCTGTGGCGCCTCCCCGGTGGCTCAGCTGGTTGAGCATAGTGCTATGAAGCTGTCCACAGCCTCTGCAGCAAGGGCTTGATTCCCTGCCGGGGAGGGAGATCCCCACATGGTGCAGCAGACCTCTCCTGTCTCGCCTGCTGCTCCCCTCAGCAATGTTTTCGGTCCATCTGCCTGTTATTCTCCCCACTCTGGGTCATGAATTCTCTCACCCTCCATGCATCTGGCCAGTACCCCTCCACCCCCCCTACCCCAGGCTTATATAAATAAATAAATCTTAAAAAAAAAAAAAATAATGTCCTCTAGGTTGTCACAAATAGCAACATTTAATTTTTTTCAGTTGGGTAGGGTTTTTGTGTATGTTTGCATCTTTTTCAGTAGGATCATTGTTCTTAATTGGGGATTGTTTAAGTTAAAGTTCCCAGAGTTCCAAGCACAGTACTGTTTATCATATATATTGACCCATTTGATGCCCTATGCCTGACTGACTTTGTGTAAGAAATTGGGTGACACCCTCCATAAATATGTACCCATGAATGTCCATAAATATTAAACAAAAGATACACTGGCTGGGAATCTTCAAACTTTCTGAGAGTATATTTCTGCTCTCAACTCTGAAATAAATAGGGGATATTGGGGAGTGAGGAATGTGTTGCAAATAGTTTCTTTTCCAAAGACCATTCCCTCTTTTAGTTTCACTCATTCAGTCAAACATTGAGTAAGTCTACCATACTTTTACTAAGCAAGTGAAGTTTTTCTACTACATGCTCTAAAGACTCAAAAAAGAGAAAGTATCTGCCATGGTGCCCACTGTCTAGTAAAGGAGATAAGCTGTACACAGTTCATCATGGTGTAAAATAGAAAGTGATAGGTATCTTAAGAGAAACCCACATAAAAATGCTATGGGGAGAGGACCTCCCTGGTGGTGCAAGGGGTTAAGCACAGCACTATGAAGCTATCCACAGCCTCTGCAGCATGAGTTTGATGCCTTGCTGGTCAGGGAGCAACCCACATGGCGCAGCAGACCTTTCCTGTCTCGCCCACTGCCCCCCTCAGCAGTGTATTACGGTCAGTTTGTCTGTTCTGCTCCTCACTCTGTCTCTGGTGAATCCTCTCACCCCCTGCATCTCCAGCACGCACCCCAGATCCTGCATGGATAAATAAATAACTCTTTTTAAAAAATGCTGTCGGGAGAGAAAATATGAAAAGATCGCTTATGGTTGACCTCTGCACCAGCTACATGAATAAGACCCAGAAAGTCCTTCACTGAGAGGTTCACTGCTTGCCAGGGAAAGTCCATTTACTTCTTTTACACAATATGCTATGACCTGGCACTCTATACTAACCTTGTATAAGCTCATCGCCTTTAACTGACTTTATTAAACTTTCTACAGCTTCAAAATTTTTTAAATTATTTTTTTAAAGATTTATTTATGCATACAAGAACTGGGGTACAGGTCAGAGGTGTGGGAGGATCCACCAGAGACAGAGTAGGGAACAGAACAGGCAGATTGACTGAAATACACTGCTGAGGGGAGCAGTGAGCAAGACAGGAGAGGTCTGCTGCGCTATGTGGGTTAGCTCCCTGGCCGGGGATCGAACTGGTGCTGCAGTAGCTATGGATTGCTTCATAGGTTGCATCTTAAGCCCGTGCACTACCAGGGAGGCCCAGCTTCAAAGTTTTAAGTAGCCTTCCAGGTTTCCTTGTTTTCCTCTTTTGTAGGCTGACAAGTTTGTCTTCTGGCCTGTACATTGGGGCCACCATTTCAAATTTCTTGTTCTCACAACTCTCAGGTCACGCTAGGTCATCCCACCCTGCTTCACTGATTCCTCTGGATAAGACTCAGTGCTGCGGCCTAGAAGCCACTTCTCACTTCACATTGAAAGGAATTCCCTCCTTACATAAGTGAAAACAACTTAAATTAGTTAAGGATGGGTATATTTATACATGACAATGTCTCAAAGACTCTGCAGTAAAGTTTAATTGCATTTGGCTCTAAAATTTCTGTTGATTTTTATTTTACGGTGAATGTTTTGTTTCTCATTAAAATTGGATTATTTGAAAAATTAAAACCACTCAAAATAAAGATAAAAAGAATTCCTTGTTGATGGTGACCGCTTCATTCCTGTGGCCCACCCATTAACTGCTCTCAATTGAGGCACCATTTCTCCAAGATCAAATACTTTTGTCTGGACTCCTACTGATTTCCTAATTCCAGTGGTTTCCTAACTAGATGCTCTTGTCCAATCTTGTCTGTTTCCCACCAAGCCTCCACAATAGTTCCAGAGTGGACTTTTTTTTTTTTAAGGAATGCATATATATTTTTTAAAGATTCATTTATTTATGCATACAAGAACTGGGGTACAGGCAAGATGTATGGGGGGTGAGAGGATTCACAAGAGAGAGTGGGGAACAGAACAGGCAGACTGACTGAAATACACTGCTGAGAGAGCAGGGGGTGAGTCAGGAGAGGTCTGCTTCGCCATGTGGGTTGTTCCCGGGCCAGCTGGGGATAGAACTAGTGCTGCAGAGGCTGCGGACTGCTTCATAGTGCTGTGCTAGCCCCTTGCGCCCCAGGGAGGCCCCAGAGTAGACATTTTTTAAGGCAAAGGAAAGACAAGTTGTTTATGCTTTTCCTTTGCTTTCTTAGCAAGGGCATAGAGCCCTCTATGACTGCCCCCCTACCACTTCTCCCGATCCCTTACTTTCTTAGCCTACCACTCATACCCTGTAAATCACACCACACACCCACTGCACTTTAAGCTGCACCATTATAATTGGTTTTTCATATGCTACTCACTGAACATTCTGTTCAGCACTCCCATATTCTACTTTCAAGTCTTTTGTCTGTCAGGCCCTTTCAGTGAAGACATCTTCACAGGGATAGGCCTCCCATTCCCTCTCTCCCCCCATCAGTGATGCAGGCCTTCTCTCAGCACTTCATGCAAAATTAACTCTATTGGGCATTATTCATACAGTGCTATCACTGTTTGTTTGCTCATCTGTCTCTTCACTCGATCCTCAGTCTTTTATTTTTCCATGCCCTGACATTGGGGATAAGTGAAATCCATGAATAACTGTTAGGTGAATGAGTAATGTTACCATAGTCCTTGACTCTGGATATTACCCACAGATCTTAGTTCCTTTTCACCCTCTCACATATCCCCCGTTCTATTTAGTCCCTAAAAACTGTCATTTCCATTTCAGCTCAATTCATATCACCATATGGGGATACCAACCATAAATGTCCGCTTAGGGTTTAATATTACTGGTAACGACGAAGGGGTCATTTTCTATTTTTAAGCAGTCTAAAATGGAAAAAAAATCCTTACATCCGTCAACTATATTTCATTCTCTTCCTTGAACCAACCTTTCAGTTACATACACACTTTGGAGAAAAATGGTTTTGTCATATTCATTCCTACCCCTGCCTTATAAAACAGAATTTTACTGAACAGAAGTAGTGACAGAAAAGAAAAATAGAGGTGATATGCCAATCAATTTAAATTAGAAATTCTGCTCAATATTGGATGACTTCTCTGTGCCAGGCTCAGTGCAAGGTAGGTCTTTGCACCTGTTCTCTCTTTTTAGCATTTACCTGGTTCATTTACTTTGGTGAGTTTTTCCAACATTGGTACAACAAATATTTTGATTTAGGGGCTTTCTAATGCATCTGAGGGTGTTTAGTCTCATCCCTGACATCTACCTACTGGATGCCAGCAGCACCCTCACCCTAATTGTGACAACCAGACATTGCTAATGTCCCTCTGGGGGGCAAACTTACCCCTAATGTTCACTCCTCAGATTTTAACTAAATGTTGCCACAGCCTCCCTTGACCCTTCACAGTAAACCAAATGCTCATTACCTGTTCTTATAACATTGTAGATCATTCCTATACAATGTGGTATACATCAAGGTTTGCAATTACACATTTATTAGCATGCTTACTGCTTATTATTTTCCCCCTAAGAAAAAAGATCCTAGGCTAAAAGATCCATGAAACTTGGATCTGTTTTGCTCACCCTTCTATACTCTGTCCTTAGCATAACATCTGATTCATATTAGGTACCTCCTAAATCAATTATGTGCAAAAGAGAGAATAGGGATGCAGAGACTGGGGATTGCCCTCAACAGCTAAATTTAAGAAAATTCAGAGGTGGGGCCTCCCTGGTGGCATAAGGGGTTAAGCACTGCACTATGAAGCAGTCCACAGCCTCTGCAGCACGAGTTCCATCCCCGGCCGGCCAGAGAGCAACCCACATGGCGCAGCAGACCTCTCCTGTCCTGCCCTCTGCTTCCCACAGCAGTGTATTTCAGTAAGCCTGCCTGTTCTGTTCCCCTTTCTGTCTCTGGTGAATCCTCTCACCGCCCCCACATCTCTGGCCTGTACCCCAGCTGCTGTATGCATAAATAAATACATCTTTTAAAAAAAAAGAAAATTCAGAGGCAAAATAGGTATGAAACATTGACCTGAGGCATCTAAGAAGCAAAGTAGTTCAATGGGATGGGAGTTTTTAAATAATATTCTTTTAGTATAATTGAAGGACAATGACGTGTAGTGATGAAATTAACATGGTAGGAAAGTCTCTTATGAGACACAATGGGGGGAATGAAGCAATGGACACTTGTAAACATGGAGTCTGCATCTGCAAAGAGTGACCAGAAGGCTCTGAGTCTCATGTAATGGACAGGCGGGGAGGGTTATAATATCATCCATGTTTGGATGACACGACTCTATCTGCATGAAAAGCAGTGGCAGCAACTGTGACACGTAAGAGAACCTGGGGCTGCAAGAGGCTAGAGGAACATGTGTGGAGTCCATTTGGATACATTTTGTATCCAAATCCAAAATAAAGCACTTTTGTTCAAATGCCTGGTGATTATAAAGCAGTAAGACTGTCTCTGTCCTACAGAAGCTGCAGAAGAGCGGTTCTAATAATCACCCAATGGCAGGGATCTGCAGCAGCATCTACAGGGAATGACTCAGTTGGTTTGCATAAATTCTAACACATCTGTTCAGGATTAGTTTCATTGATTTCTAATTAGATTTCCAATATGTCTAGTTTAGTCCAGTATCTCAAACTTTTTGGTCTTAAGATTTTTTATGTTTTAAAAAAAGTATTGAGGATCCTCAAAGAACTTTTATAATAAGGATTATACCTATCAATACTTACCATGCTGAAAATTAAAACTAAGAAACATGAAAAATATTTTTGTATTCTATCACCTAAAAATGGACTTTCTTTTGATATCTTGTTTTGGTTGAAGTATATGGGAAAAAAATTCAGTGTCACCCAGATAAGTGGTAGGAAAAGGAAAAAGCATATTAATAACTTTTTCAGCAAATTGTAGATATAAATGACATATTTTCTGATATGCGCCAGATATGCTAAAATTCAACAACTGGTAGTTTCTTAAATATTAGTTCAATGTGAAATATGAAACCATATCAAACAATATCTTTGTTCCATTAACATCCATTCTGCTACCTTGCCCTTTGAATGGACACAGGCATGGTTTTGTAATATCATATATTTAGTCACTTAAAGAGTATTGTCCCTGAGTATGCACATATTCCAAATATCCACACATTTTTTATACAGCATAAAAAATTAAACATTTAATAGTATCACTACAGATACTTATTACTTATTTGGGACAGTGGGCTTTATTTTAAAAGTAAAGAGCATAATCATTCCTTTAAAGGATGTTGCAGTCATAGAGTTGTTCTCTGAAAGAGGTGAGTGGGTTGTTCACGATGAAGCAGCAAAGGCAGAATCCACCTCTTAAGCATTTTTTATACAGCATAAAAAATTAAACATTTAATAGTATCACTACAGATACTCTCAGAAAGTGTTTAGGTATTGAGAAGCTTCCAAGTTTATGGTGGCAAATATAAGTTTTCCAAAATTAGTAATTTAAGTAATATTTTGAAAGCTTGTATTTTATCATTGACAACAAATATGATTAGGTATTTTCCTCAGTAGTGATGGGCCCATTTTCAAGAAAAGGCCTACAAGGTAACCATGAAAAAAAAATGATGGGTTCGCTCACAAAGCAATCACACAAATGTTTTTCTTTGAACTACATTATACTTTGGCACAGAGTCCTTTATGCTTACTGTCCATGGTGTCAGACAGAATATTAAAGACATACACTCAAGGGTCAAGACTGAATGAAGTTAATAATTTTTGCTGACCTACCAAGGACATTTTAACTGAAATTGATCTTCTATCCCCCTCTCTCCTTCCCTTCCTCCTTTTCCTGTGAGCTTGTGGCAGTAAAAAACATGCCTACCGCCTGGGGTGGCCACTTCACTTGTGTAAAGGCACCAGCAAGCTTGCTTGCTATTGTCTTCATGCCATTAGTGCAAATGTCAATACAGCAGCACAGGCAAATAGCATCTAAGTAATATCGTGGAAATAGTTTTAACCTTTCTAATTCCCCAAATGTGTCTTGCAATCTCCCAGTTTTCTGCAGCCCACTCTCTGAGAACAGCTATATCAATTACCTGCTACAAAACTTCTCAAGACCTTCTGCAACACTCTGGCATTATCCTCCAGTATAATGTGACCAGACAATACACTTGTAAAGCAGTTTAAGCCTGAAAGGAAAATGGCTCCAAATCCACCAGATGAGAAAGAACGTGGGACAGGAGAGGCACGCTTATAGACAAGATAAGCATTTTGTTGTTATTGTTGTAAAGTGTCTGGACACAAACATTATATTATAGTGGTGCTGATTCTAAAATCTGGTTTTCTTTGCCTAAAGTATGCTTCAAGAATAGTCGTGATGGTTGCCACATGCCTCTGGCTTCTTCTAATTCCTACTTTTTGGAGAACACAGAAATAAGTGCTTTTGAGGGGAAATGCAAGAGTCAATCAGGGAGGAGATATCTTATTTGCAACCAGAATTTATATTTTAACACAAATTTGGTTGCTTTCCACCTATTGATTTGAGTCCCACTTTGGGTCAGTTTCACTCTAGCTTTTCTTTCTCTCTCCAGAATCCTTATGGCAGTGTTCGGTGGGTAATTAATAAATGCTGATGACATCTTAGAGAGGATAACTTTGAAAGATTATTACTTATTTGGGACAGTGGGCTTTATTTCAAAAGTGAAGAGCATAATCATTCCTTTAAAGGATGTTGCAGTCATAGAGTTGTTCTCTGAAAGGGGTGAGTGGGTTGTTCACGATGAAGCAGCAGTCAAAGGCAGAATCCACCTCTTAAATCTCCTGTGTAAATTGAAAAGCCCGGGACACTGTGTTCACAAGACTGACTCCAGGGCAAAGGATCTTGGAGAGGGAGTAATCCAGGTAGGATCTGGGTGAAGTGGGTGGGTGAAACAGGCCATATTTATCACATTGATGCCATTTGTTTTCAGAGAAAACAAGATTTTCTGTCCTTTGGGCATCTTCCCTGGCTGATCACTCCTGGGCAGTACTGCTCCCAACCCTGTGATGAGGCTTGCACCAAAACTGCTCTAGCCCCAGGTCTGTGAGTCTGTGACATTACGAGGGGGTGTGGCCAGTGGAGGCAGAGCATTGAGGAGACATAGCTGTAAAATTGCAGAAGTTGCATGAGCTGCTGCCTCATGTACCCAATCCTGTAGAGGACGACACAGACCCCAATTGAAGAATTGCAATTAAGAGAATTTTCCCAACCTGCTGGGTCAATAGGCAGGAGGGGAAGATTATGAAATATGAGCCATTCAGAAAAAGGGGAGTGGGAGCTGGAATGTTTTTCTGCTTGTGAGGAAAAGCTCATTGACTGGAGAAAACTCAGCCCAAACCAAGGCAGCTAATTAAAACAAAAACAATGGTGCCTTACATTTTCAAAAGCATTTCACCGTTATGGAACATTTCCCCATTTCACATTTCCCCAGCTGCATCTCACTGTGAGGTGGGCAAAAGGAAAAGTGAATGTTGCGGCTCACAGAAACACCGGGGTTGTTTCCATAATCAGGAAACAGACCAGTTGTAAAAGCTGCCCATACATTCAAGCCACAAGTTTGTTGCTTGGTGCAAAGTGAAAGGTAGAAATGAATGCCAATATGAGTGCTTTTAGAAAAATTTCTTTTTGATGTTACAAAAAACGAGAAGGAACCTAACCTTTCTCCCAAATGTAGAACATTCACAATGAGAACAGAAGGTATTCTGTTTGGTTGTTTCTGATGAGATCTTTACATTTTTCTTTTTTCTTTTGTTCAAAACAAGAATAAAGGCTTCCAGAAACTTTCAGCTTGTCTCTCTCTCTTTATTAGTCCAAGGGCATTATGAGATGGCAATGTGCCCAGTTCTAGTAATAAGTATTTGTTTGGTACCTGGGTAAAAGTGCCAGCATCTGGAGAGCCCTAGCCTTAAGCTTTCATAGGCCTCCTGTTAATGGCTAGAGTTAGAAAATTCAGAACACACTTAACATCTTTGAGGACTGAGTGAAATGCGATGTGGAATGCAATAATAACTACTTCACAATGCAGTATAAGTGCTAGGTTAATGGAGATATCACACAGGCAAACATGGACAGCACAATTGAGTAGAGAGAGAATATGGTTAGTATAGGTTAGCTTTATTCTTGAGTTAACTCAAATGAGAGCATAAGAACAGACTATTACATTTTCAGGAACTTTGCTTGCTAATTGCAAAACCATGAATAGCTTGAATCCAACCATGGTAAGAGCTTTACATTATGGAAAACATCCCACAATAAATCAGGGTTCCTCTTCAGCTGTTGGCTAACAATTTACAAGCACATCAGTACTGTATCTAATAATTTTTTTTTTTTTTGCTTTTCAATTTCCTCTGTGGTATCATTCTAAAATATTGTGATGAAGTAACTATTTCCTCACTATAAATGTCTTGGACATGTCATGGATTTTCTTTCACAGGGGCAGAAACTCTGCTGAGTTAAAACACCAAGAAGAAAACTGTGACTCCAGGCATTGGTAGACTGAATGGATATGGCAGACACGATTGGCTTCCTCCCCAAGGACCATCCACCCTGCCTTTGCCTCTCTTCTTTCATCACACAACTAGATTCTTGGCTCTTGGAAAGCAGGGCCCAAACCTAAGTTAGCTCCAGAGATGGATTATCATTGCTCTGGTCTGCCATGGTAATGTGAATGTCCTCTGCCAAGGATAGGTCTATTGGTGGGCATAGAACTGAGTTCTGGCTTCCTTTCTCAGATCATAAAACATCCACTGTCCATCCACTTTGGTATGAGGATCTACTGCTATGTGAACAGAAGGCAATAGGCAGGCAGGAGAAAAATGGCTCCCTGAAGATGTCTGAGAGGAAGAGCAGAGTGTGCATGGCTGTGTCAATAGCGTGATTGAACCCTGTACTTGCTTCTCACCAATAAAAATTGCTTAAACCACAATTATATTTTTCTATCATGTGAAACCTAAGAAAGCTTCCTATATAACACAGTGAGGATAATATATTACAAGTGCAGCTATTTTTCAAAGTTTCCTAAATAATCTACAGTTACCTAAAATCCATCTGGGCTCTAATCTCAAAGAAGACAGGGCTCAGAGTAAGAGGGACCATATATAATAGTGAGAATAAGGCAGTATGGAAGAGGAGAGGAGATCTTATGGGGTCCAGGGACTTCCGCCTCTATCTGTGTGGAATTGTTTGGCCACATAATTGAATCAAACATGGACAGACATCACTTTGACTCCTTAAAGGGACTCATTCATCTTGAGATCCCACTCATGGGGTACTTCTCGAGGCACAATATCACTAGAATCCTTCTAGGATTATTCTTAGGATTATTTTCTCTTGAGTTATTTTAGATGCTTAAAGAAAGGATATCTGGGAAATTTATTCATAGTTGGCAAATATGACAGAGGTGCTAAGGAATCACTGGATATGGTGGTAGGGTTCTCTGGAAGCTGTACCTATAACCATTTCAAACACAATTTGAAAAAAAAAATGTGTCATGGTATGTGTGAGAAAGCAAGAAATAAGAGAACAAGGCTTTTCCAGGAGAAGAAATAGTGAACTAGAGTGTGATAGTTGGCATTATCTGGCTGTCATTAGAATCTGCTTATGACCCACTCCCACCCTGAAGACTGGGAATTCTTTTTTTTTTTTTTTAAGATTTATTCATTTACGCATACAAGAGCTGGTATACAGGCCAGAGATGCAGGGGTTGAGAGGATCCACCAGAGACAGCCAGGGGAACAAAACAGGCAGATAGACCAAAACACACTGCTGAGGGGAGCAGCGGGCGAGACAGGAGAGGTCTGCCTCCCCATGTGGGTTGCTCCCTGGCCAGCCAGGGATCGTACTCATGCTTCAGAGGCTGCGGATTGCCCCATAGTGGGGTGTTTAACCCCTTGCACCACTAGGGAGGCCCAAGACTGGGAATTCTTATCACCAAGTTAGTGGAATGTTAGCAGCAATAGAGCAGGGGGGAGATTTTGAAGAAGTGGGCAATGTAGGTTCTATTCCTGGAGGCAGCTTGCAGGGAGACAGAGAAATCTCTGCTGGTCTGGATGGTTTCTCTAGGTCCCCCACAGTAGGGAACTTTCTGGGCTCACTATAGGAGTTCTCGGCACAAGAGGTAGGAAGTGTGATTCAGGAGGACTGAAAATAGGCCTACATTCTTCATTCTCCCCACCGCCACAGTTCCTGGCTCATCTTTTTCTCTGCACAGACTATAAACCGGTCTGATGGTAACTTCTTCCCATATCCCAAAGGCGAAACCTTCAGAGAGCTCAGCTGCCAGGCCAGTGCCCACGAGGGACAATGACCATAGTGAGAAGCCACATTCAGGGCCTTCAGCCTGGGAAATGGCAGAGAATGCTAGGGAGGCTATGAATGGCCTCTGAAGCTCTTTCGAGCTTATAAAGTCCTCCTTTCTCCTTTTGCTGAAAACTCTCATGGAAGTGAAAGGAACCTCTGTCTGGTTTATTTCAAAGGGGGGGTTGTGAAAAAAAAATTCAACATTATCCAAGTAGCTCCTTACTGGCTAATTTTCAGAGCTAAGTATCTGCTGCTCCAAAACATTTCTTTTTCATATTCCTCAAAGAGACCAGTGATAGGCCCTAATATCAGATGCATTTTCCATTTATACATTCTGTTTCTCTCTATTTAGGGAAAGAGTCAATTCTTAAGCCTTTTCAGAAACTATTTTTAGCGAACAACTAACTGGTCACTGATAAGGGCTCATCAGAATAAGATTAAATTCAGGAAGGAGGGGAGTTACTTCCAAGTGTTTTTGTTATTTGGGATCAATAAAATCCAAATCTTAAAGCAGACCCCTGAGAGAAGCCTGTCTCTTTGCAGAAGAGTAAGCAAGAAGGCCAGGGGCACTCAACAGTCATGACCTTTTGGGAGGGATGTGTTATATCTAAATGAGTAAGAATATGGCCTTCTCAGTTCCTTCACATTCAGGAAGCAGGAACAAAAAAAAAGCTGTGTGAATGTGTGTGTTTGTGTGTGTGTGTGTATTTAGCCACAATCACGCTATAATTACATCATTCAAAATAAGACTATAAATAGTTTCAGTGACAGATCTGCTAAAGTTACCTCAAAACAAAACAAAAAAATTATTCTGGGAGCAGAGCTTCCACTGCTGCTGGTGGTGATTTTTAAAAAGTGGGAACACAGGAGAACAAATACCTTAGTGAGAGGAAGATGAATTGGAGTAAAGTCAGATAAAAAGGAGAAAACAGACTTGTCCCACCTCACAAAGGTGACCGGCCATTCATGTGCCATTTAGC